TCGGACTGGACTTATAACATGAGTTGGGTCTTTGGGCCATCAAAAACAGTAACAGCTTCCGAAATTCTGGAAGTGTCTATCGGAAGTTTGGTTCAAACTACCAGTGGCAACTGTCGAAATACCAAATAAGTCAAAAGAAATGCATTAAAAGGAATAAGAAGGAAGGGTCTTTTGGAATTCCAATGGCACCCATTGGAAGTCTGGTTGAGTCAAAAAACAAGGCATCCACGAAGACTAGGAGGAATGTTCATCCAGCGTACCGAAACTGCTCTCATCCGAAAGATTGAACGACACTCATTCAGAAGTCCAGGTGCAATATCTAGAAGACCTCGCAAACTATCTAGAAATACATGACAAGAAGCTTGTGAAGCAAAGCTGGAATGGAAGAGTTTGTCAGACATTCGGTTCTTGGAATCGGAAGTCCGGATGTGACCGTTACACATATAATGTGAACATCCGGAAGCCTAGAGGAAGTTTGACACCCTTCTGGATCTTGACGGGTTTAAAACTTAAATGTTCATTATCTCATTTAAGACACCCAACTTATAAATAGAGGTTGAAGGAATCTAAAGATCACTTTTTGGCCTTTGACATTTGAGCAAAAATAAAAGACAAGAGTGTTTTACTTTGTCTTCATCTTGCAAAAATAGATTTTTTTTTAGAACTTTATATTCTTTTTCTCTCTTGTGCCTTATGTGATTCTTGTATTGAGATAAAACTTTTGAGAAAGAGTGTATATTGTATATCCCTCTTGAAGTGAGCCAAAGTGGAAGATTCTATTTGTATCAAGAAGGAGAAGATTGTAAGGGTTTAACTCTCACCCATTGAAGAGGATCAAGCTAGTGAAAAGATAGCTTATCAGTTGGCTTTTCATCTTTCTAGGCAGTTTGTTCAGTTGCCATATCTGATAGCTCTCAGGACTTATCGTGCACACACCTCAACTCTCAAGTCTCAGCTCACTGCTCAATTTTCATATATGATAACTCTCAGCTCGTCTCCAAGCTCATACCAGCTGCTGCTCGTGGCTCATTTAATCATTTAAGCTTCTGCACTCAGCTGGTATCTCACTCATGACAATGGTTGCACTCTGAGCTCATTTATTACATCTCAGCTGCTACTCTTAGCTTGTTTAGGTGGCATACATAGTATTTTTTGTTATTTCTTCATCATTTTGTATTATGCATGCATTTTTCTCCCTTATTCCTTTTAATGTAATTAGATTGCATCGAAAAGAAGCTCCAAAGGAGAGGTTGAAGAGAGGATGTAAGCCAAGTTGGTTGGGGTTGAACATTTATATATTGTGTTTGACTTTCGTCTCCTTACTCTCTTTATTCATTACATACATTCATCATCACTCACTACATTTTTTTGAAGCCTCATTTATTGTTCTACTTAGCAATTTCACAAGTTGTAATTTTTTTTGTAAAAGAAAGTTTGGAAAGCAGAAACCTAATTCACCCCCTTCTTAGTTTGCACTTGGGCCACCATTTTCTGTGTGCTACAACTTAACAACAGTGACAATAGGCTTTCGATGGGATATTTGTTTAATGTTATGCATAAAGTGGGAGGAATTGGCAAAAAGATTACAAAGAATGAAAAAAAGAGTAGATGTTTACTTGAGATTCATTGATGCTTCATGGGATAGTCAGCTTCATAAAATCTTCATGTTGCTAGTTATTGGTTGAACCCAAATAACCGATATAACTTGATTGAAATGGTAAAACATCGACAAACTATTTTAGGGCTCTTGGATGCCACTAAGAAGTATACTTATGGAAATCTCACTTCGAGTAGTAAGTTGACAAATGAGATGAAGTTGTTTAGAAATGCAAAATGAGAGGTTTTTTTTTTTTTGGAAGGGGGGGGGGGGGGGAGCATGGGGAGACTACTATAAGTTATCAAGATATGATGCTTCTTGGTGCTTAAAAATCCTTAGACTAATCCAAGTAATGTACTATTTTTTTTATTATTGAAAATTGATTGTGATGCAATAAATACAGATGAGTGGGGATTGTTTTTATGGAAGTAGTGCACCAAATTTATAAAAATTAGGCATTCATGTCTTAAGCCAAATATGTAGTTCTTTCGGTTATAAGTGAAATTGGAGTGTATTGGAACACATTTGCTCTACGAAAATCAACAAGTTGGAGTATCAAATGCTTAATGACTATTCTTACTCCGCAAATATATCCATTCCCACCCCATTAAATTTTACAATATAAAAGTAACAAGCTCACTTCATGCCAATAGGGTGGAGACGGATAATTATGGGGTAGGAATAGCTCCACCCTTAAAAAAATATTAGTCACGCGGGTCTTAATCCATATGCAGTTCTTTTGGTTGTGAGAAAAACTAGTGTATTTGAACACATTCATTCTAAGAAAAGAAATAGGGTGAAGCATCAAATTAAGGCTTTATGGCTTTGGGTGTGTTTGGCATACAACTCAAAAGTTCATTCTATAGATGCAAACACTTCTCAAAAGAGATAAGGTTGTTTGGTGTCCAAAAATTTTTGGAATGAACAAAAAGTGGATTTTCAAGATACTCATTCTAGAGAAGTCTCTTAGGGGAGCTTCTTAAAACCATCATATTTGCACTTCTTGGGAAGCGATTTTTAATTTAACATTGCTTTCCAAAATTAGCCTTAATTTTTGCAGTTAAAGATATGTTTTAACCCTGCTTCATAAGTAATTACATATATCAGATTATAAGATAAAAAGTAAAAAAAATATATCTTATTATTATACTAGTTGTAGATAGACATTGATTTAAAAGCACTTTTAAAACACACTTTTATGAAACAGTTAGGTATTTCAAAAAGTCTATCCGAAAAAATCCATTTTAAAAAATTCATCTTAAGAATGAACTTTTACTTTGAGGAGTTACGTCAAACGCAACCTTTATTTTTGTTTATTACAATTACAAATTGCAACAAAAGTACAAAATTTTGGTTAGTATTCAATTACAATTAGAATGATTATAATTTTATTTACTTATATAACTTTGACCTCGTAAATGATGATATGTGAAAATTATTTGAGCAATAGAAATTATGATTCTATTAACTTTGAAGATCTCACAACTAACGCCCCGTAGATGTTTTATGATGAGCCCTCAACTTTAAATGTTGATGAAGTAGAAAATTTTCGTCTAGAACTAGTGGCATCTAATACCCAAATAAAGCTCTACAATGGTAACTTATATCTTCATACCTATTCATTTCATATGATTTTTCAATTGGTCAATAAATAATACTTCTTTTTCTGGGCTTTTAATTAATAGATGGCATCTTTTATGTTTGTTAAAATATTTGTAAATTTTTGATTTGTTTATTATTGTAAAACTTTGAGCATTCTTATTATCCGGTATATATATAATTGGGTTGTAGATTTTTGATAATGATAATCGTATTTGTATTATCAAGTGAATTACACCCATGTAGTGGTTCGGTCATAGTTTTTGATTTAAAATAATTTTGTCATTGTGTTTTCTTTTGTTAACTCTTTATGTCATGTTTATGTGCTTCATTTTTTACACGTACCTTTGGTTACTTCAATTTAAGTTTGAAGAGTAAAAATCTCATGGAGATAATTGGAAACATGAATATGGAAATTTCTAATATTTCTCTACTTATATTTTTAAATTGTCTTGAAAATTTGTTTGATAAATTTTGAGATTTTTGTTTGATCTAAATATACATTAAACATACCAGTTTTATAATTATAATTATTTATTATTTTTTTATTTTATAATCGGTCCAACTAGTGACCTTTTAATACTTTCTCTTTATCAGATTAATGTCGAAGCTGGTTTAAAAACTATGCTCTCACCCGCACAAGGTTTCAAAGAACCCAAATTAGATCGGCAAACTAATGGCACAATATTCATTATTGATTTTTAATGAGACCATTTATCCAATGTTAAAAAATACGTCATATTATTTAATATAAATATATGGTAAACATAACATTCTAAGAAAAAAATAGGTAAATCCTATAAATACTCTATGAACTATGACCTTTATTTTTAGTTGTTCCCATAATTTTTAATTATTATAATTTGTAATTTATTTCTTTTTGTTAAGATTAATTTATAATTAAGACATAATGGTTAAATGAGATATATTTTATTAAAATTAATTATTAATTTATCTTATTTAACCTTTAGGATTGACGAAAGAGACCTATTGAAATAAATAATATAGTTCGTTCAAAAAAATAAATAATATAGTTTAAGGGATAAATTAGAATAATTAAAAATGTAAAATAAAAATTATAGTTTAATGGGTATTTATGATATTTAACAAAAAAATAATAAAGTTAATTGCACTGGAGGTCCCCAAAATATAAAATTTGTCTCATTTTGGTCCCCCAATGTTTCAATTGCATCCTTTTAATCTCTGAGTATTGAACATTTTTATATATGGTCCCTCAAGCAGACAGTGTTCAAATTGTTAACGATTTTTTATCATAAATTTGTCACGTGATACTTAAATATGAACAGAAAAATAATTTGAATAACTATTCACCAAATTTTAACTCAAATTTTGGTTAAATAACTATTTATATTACAGAATTTTGATCATAAGATATTCAAATTTTGGTCAAAAATTATCTATATTACATATTTTTTTGTCAAGAGTTACCCAAATTTTGTTTGAGAGTTATCAAAATTATTTTTTGTTTATATTTAGGTATTACGTGATAAATTTATGATAAAAAAACGTTAGCAATATGGACGTTATTTGCTTGCAAGACCATATATTAATATATTCAATACTTTAGAAATTAAAATGATGTAATTGAAACATTGAGGACTACAATGAGACAAATCTATACTTTAGGGACTGCTTGTGCAATTAACACAAAAAAAATAATAATAAACACGTAGGCAACACCTGTAGTGCAAGTTGTGACTTATCAGCAGACAGCTCTGGCGTAGAATAGGACAGCACATGATCACCCCACTCCCCACCCCCCCTCCTTCCAGCTCTCTCTGTCTCTCTCTATCTCCAAAGTTCAGAGTTCAATTCAAAGTCTCTCAGATGCCTCTGTGATATTTTTTTCTACCCTCTTGTTTATATAAAAGTACATATTTATATATGTTGTGGTCCTTTTGAGTAGTTCCATATAATTGTTTGCTTTTTGTATCCAAATAATTTATGTCAGAGTCTGGTAAAGAGCTGTCAGAAATTGATGGTGGTGGTGGTTGTGATTGTGGTGGCAGTGGCAGTGGCAGTGGCAGTGGCGATGGCGATGGCGGTGGCGATGATGAGGGCAACGGCGGTGATGGCGTCATTCAGAAAGACGATCAGAAGAAGGAACGTGAAAATGGGTTTGGAAATTTTACTCAAAGGGGCAAGAGGGTAGCTCTGTTTCGATTGAGAAAGGTTAAGAAACAAAGTCAGAGAAGGAATAAGAAGGGTAATTCTGCAATTTCCGGGTGTTTAGGAAAGTGGGTATGTGGTACTGGTCGTCGTCGTGGTGGCGGTGGTGCTGGTTGTGCTGGTGGGGGTGGAGGTGGGTGTTACTTGTGTTTGAAGCAACCCCAGACTTTGGATTCCCCTAGTGAGTCTGAGACAAGTGATCCTAACAATCCGGATTTTACATATGAGATGTGCAGAGAATTGATTGAGAAGAATGATTTTTCTTCTAAAGAATACAATCCCCAGATGGGTATAGAGACTGTGTCCTCTTCTTTTACGGATGACAAGTGGGAGAAAAATAGTAAAGAAAAAACGGATTAATTGATTCATTCGTCTGTTTTGGGATGCTTAATTGTTCTGCATTTCATTTTATAGAAGTTTGCAGAGACTTTTAAGGGTACCCAACTTGTTGGAATCATGACAAGGGTCCTCTCTGTGGCCTTATAATTTGATATCAGGCATAGTTGCTAGGATCATGATCATATGTGGTGAAATATCAATTTTTTGGGCCGCATCCTAATTAATGAAAACTTTGTGGTGGCATTCTAATGGTTATAAATTTTGTTGGGAAAATGATTTCAGTATGTGAAGAGAAATTCAGTATATGTGGAGTTGAAGTAGTTTCGAGAATCGAGAAGGTGGTAGTGCTGAAAACTTTCTGGATAAATTGGGCAGAGCTTATATTTTGGCAGATCATACATTGGGTTTCACTATTTTGATGATCCTCAGGAGTTGTAATTGCTCTGCAAGTTTAGTCAGCATTATGAATGTCAGAAATTAGAAATTTGCTTGTGCTTATTTTGAGGAGCTTATGGCCAAGGCAAAAGTTCCAACTTTTACTTTTGGTTGCAAATTCATGCAAGACACAATGGTATTGGTGGGAATCCAAGGACAAGAGTGAGAACTACCTTTGAGCCTATAGCTGTGGATAATTTTTGAGCCTATAGTTGATCTTTAAGGTGTTTGGATGGAGTTTTCTTTTTTCTATGTTATGCTAGGGATATAGTACATTGTTTGTTTCTAAACTTCTTAACTGGTTTACCTTCGTTCTGTTGTCCTGCTGGCCTCTATGCCTACACAGTACACAACGCGGTTTGTCATTTATGGAACATGTATGGCATGGTCTATTCAGATGGTGTGATTTGATAAAGAGATGACATACAGAAATCTTAGGTCTGTTTCTAGCTGTGGTAGCAGCAAAATCCGTGAATGAGTGGTTGTGACAACTTGAATTCAATTTGAACATAATGCTTGGTGCCCAGGGTTGGATAGAGTTATTGGGAAAACTCCACCATGATTCGGGAGACTTGGATTTTTTATAGTTCATTACAGCTGATGAAGCAGAGGATTTTGCGATATGTATTCGTGTGGAAGTCCGCAGCTATGACACTAATGTAAATTTTCTACTTCGTTGTCAATTTATTTAGGAATTCTACGCTGATAGCTTTCTATAATTATAAGCCATTAAAATGAGCAGTTGTGGTATGTTTTAGCTCCTCTATTTCAATATACCTTCTTTGAGGTCCTCCTTGATATACTAATTGCTAAGAAGTTCTCTGCATCCAGAATTTTTTGCACTCCTTTTTCTCTTTCGAAACACAATGTTTGTCTGCTTTATATAATATTGTCTTCAGTTGAGCATAGAAGTGTCCTTGTGTTTATTATGCTTGAGCAAAGCCCTAAAGTAGAAAAGTAGATGCACATTTTTTTTTTGTTGTAAAATGTTATTCGATTCAATGAGTACCAGTATGCCAGTGATCTCCATTTCTCTTCATATCATTGGTTAGGTTGTTGTCCTGTCAGCAGTTGGGAACTCGTCTGATGATAATCAAGTGCTTCAAAAGATGTATATTTTGTGCAATGTTTGCCGGAGATTAGTGCATGTTAGTGTTGTTCACCAATATTGCTACTTTGCCATGTAGAATAGAGAATTTGGACTTACTGTTTTCATTTTGCATACATGACATAAAAGAATTTTGGGTCTTAAGCCTCCTTTCTGCCATCTCTTCTACATAATGTTCAAGCTTAAATTTACTGTTTATACCTTGACAAAACTCAAGTGATTTCCGTCTGAATTAACAGAATCAGTCCATAAAAAGCATTGCTTGGTGTAAGTTGAACATAATCATCTATGGATTGCCGTAATGTCCTGGTCAATTACTCTGACTTCTTTCATAATTCCTGGCTGTTCTAATGTTCATAGTGGAGACAAAAAGGGAAGCCTCTTCAATTGGAGTTGTAATGAGATTGACAACAAAAGTGTGAAAGAGCTGCTGCAAAACTTAAGAAAATTAAACTTGATATTTTATGCAGGTTCGATGGCACCATCAAGATAGCAGCCACAACCCCCCACAGCATTCTGTCATCATAAACCAATGCCATCTTTGGAAGTCACCCAATACAAAAAGGCTACTTTCTGTGAAATCAGGCAAAGGTACTGTGACGAACAAGCATAGCTCAGTTGATTTGTACAATCACCATGAAATGTGTTAGTTCTGTGGTTTAAGTTCAAATTTATGCTAATGAGAGTTGCTTAGGATTGTTTTAAACAGAACTTCATGCTTAACTGTAAGGTTGAAAGAGGTTGCTAAAATAAGGCAAGATGTCAGTGGATTCTGAATTTGGTACTTGCATTCTTATGAGGAAGAGATCTGATGAACAGAGTCAGGGACCTATCCCAAGATATACAGAGAAGGTCCTGTCCTGAGTTATAATCTCTTGGGAGCCGGTCAAATAAAACTCTTAATATTCTGCCATTGAAGAGAGAAATACATGATGTAATGCAGATGTCAATTCATCCTGGAGAAGTCCAAGTAAACCTGGCAAAATTTGGATGGTGTCGAAACTATTATGGGCAATCCTCACTCAACCATGCCAATTCTTTTTTGTTTTTCCCTCCAGAGTGCCCGTGTGCAGTGAGAAACTTTAATGTAGTATGCTAGATCTGGTTTGCCAACAGTGTTATATTGAGATGCTCTAATCAAGTGGAAGCATAAGAATATGTCAAAGTGCAATAAAGAATACATTCTATCCCAACAGAATACAAGCAAAGGTACTAGCTCAGGCAAGTCCTAGATTTTATCAGATTTCCAGACTGAGGTTTATTGTTGCAAAGAACCGAGAGGGGAAGTCACTAAACAGAAAGAAAAATTAACTGATCTGATCTATTTAGAAAATAAAGAAAGATTCGGGCTTCCTCTAAGTCGGGAAGAGTTGAGTCAAATCTTAAACAGAAGAACCCCTTACGTTTATATTTAAATTTGTTAAAGCCACTGTTGATCATACATTGGGTTTCACAATTTTGAGGAGCTTCAGGAATTGTAATTGTTCTGCCTCTTCGTTGGCATTATTCATTTCAGATTTTGTGAATTTGGTTTGTCATTTATGGAATATGTAGGGAATGATCAACACTGATGGTCTGATTTGATGAAGAGATAATATACGGAGATTCTAGGTCCATTAGTACTTGTCTTAATTTACAACATGAGAGGTTGTAGCAGGTTAAAGATGAATGCAACATAATCATAATGCTTCTTGCACAACGGTTAAAGTTCTTTTTTAGGTGGATAAAATTTATCTTAAAAACTCCACCATGATTAAAGAGAATTTGATATTTATTAGAGTTGCTTACAGTCTGATGAAACTGACCATATGTTTGTTGTTTTGAGTTCAGAGCAAGTGGTAGTTTTTGACTATGACCATTATGCAATTTTCTACTCATCAATTTGTTCAGGAATGCTTCTGCAGATTGCTTTCTATAGTTCTAGACTCAGCCATTAGAATCAGCAGTAATGGTATGTATTAGTCTGTCTTTTACTCTTTATCTTCCTTGAGTTCCTTGTCGATATATTTGATTGATCGTTAAGAAGTTCCCTGCATCTAGAATTCACTGTGCTACTTTTTCTCTTGAAACAAGATATTTGTCTGCTTCATACAAAATTGTTTGAGAAACGCACAATACCCCTAAAATTAGAACACCATTACACTATATTTCAAGGTTGTAGAATATTTGTCAATTTCATGAGTGTCTCTATTAGTGGATAGATTATTGTCTTGTCAATAATTAGGAACAAGTTTCTAGATAATCATGTGCTTCAAAAAATTTATGTTTTTCACAATGTTTTCCTGAGATTATTGCATGCCAAATTGTTTGCCAATATTGCTATTCTGCTTTGTAGAATAAAGATGTTAGATTGGGTTTACATGCTTATGAATGCATAAAAGAAATTAGCGTCTTAAGCCTTCATACTTGGCCGTCTGAATTTTACAGAATAAGTCGATAAAAGCATTGGTTAGTGGTGCAATTTTTTGAACACAAGCGTCTGTTTATGGCAGTATTGTCCTGGCCATGTCTGAAAAATCCTTTTGTGGTTCCCGGGGGTTTTAGCAGCCCATGGTAGGGACAGAGGAAGAACACTTTAATCAGGCTTGTAACAAAACTGTGGAAGAATTGTTGCAAAACTTAATCAAACTTGTTATCCCATGCAGGTAGATGACACTGTCTGAGTGTCAAGGTAGCAGCCCCAACCACCCACAACATTCTGTCATCATATGCGTAGGACCATGAAATATGTGAGATTTCTGTGGTTGAACTTCAAATGCATGCTGCCGAGAGTTGGTTAGGATTCTTGTAACCTGAACTTTATGCTTAAATGTGAATTTGAATAGAGGCTACTAAAATAAGGGAAGAAAAATGAGGCAAGATGCCACCAAGTCCTATCACTTCTACTTCCCTGGGCTGAACCCCAACCAATAGATTCTAAATTTGGACAGCCATTCACACGAGGAAGAAATGTCGCGAACTTGGTCAAGGATCTATCCCAAGAGATACTAAGAAGGATAATTTGGGTAAATTACACTTGGACCACCTTGAAGTTTGTCATTAAATTACATGGACTCCCCTAGGTATAATAAATTACATTGATACCCTCTTGTAGTACCTAACGAAAACTACAAAATGACCATGTTACCCTCTGATAAAAATTAAATAAAATCAACTTGACCCAATTTAACGTCCTAAAATTCATACTAGAAGGCATTACTATCTATAACCATTCATAGAATGAGAGCAACTAATAAAATCCATAAATAATAGAAAGTTCATTCATCATCCATAATAACTAAAACATCACCCAAAATAAATATGTCAATCCATGACAATTATATTTAAAAACTAAATATTTCATTATTCTTAACATTGTCTCATAATTAACCTTCCAGTCTAGAACATAAAGGAAATAATTCTAAACGTCCACCTTGGAATCCACGTTTCTATCAATCTGAGCTTCCCAATTTAACTGTTCATCCAATCTGAACTCTTCCTCTAAATCGTAATTTGAAAAAGTTGTTATTTGTGGGAGGTGAGCACTAAACTTTGTAAGAAATTTCTTCCAAGCTTGAACAAAGTTAGAAAACATAAAATATAAAATAGGTCGATCTCATTTTATCAAAATATCATATATAACTTTTGAAATAAAACAGTGACAGTTTATCATATCTCAAGTTTACGTAGTAGCAATAAATAAAACGAATAAGTAAAAACTAACTTTCAAATAATAAACCATTACCAATATTATATTTCAGGTATATAGTAAAACTTCGCATGAATACACACATTGAGAATATCTTAGTCCACACACACACACACCCCAATCCTCGCAAGGATACACAATTTTAGGAAGGGCGTATACTGACGGATCTGCTGTGACGAATCCAACTCAAGAATAGTATACTAGCCCTCAGCCTCGATATCTGTGAGCGAATAATAGTTTAGTCATCTCAAGACACCAACCTCACTATGAGTAGTAGGAAACCTTCAAACCCACTCGAAGTAAAAAACAAATTTACCCACTTTATAATACCTGGTCAATGGTCATCCATGTTCATCAAAACATCAACACGAGAAATACAATACAAAACCAGTTCACCAAATCACAATTAACACAAGAACTATAATTTCACAGATATTTTTTCAACATTACTCAAGAAAATATGTAAGAGATCATCAAGAAATATAATTTTATTGTTCCAACAAAACACTAGAGTTTTTAAATCAAGAACAATGAATTATCAAGATTAAAATCTATATATTTCTTGAAAACTAGGGTTTTGGTAACAAGAATGAGAATTTTTATGGCTATCAAACGATAAATTTATTCAAGATATAATATGATTTGCAAGAAAATCAAGAAACAATAATTTCATAATATATACATACGATGTAGAATCAAAACATACATATATATTAATCATAGCCTCAATGAACAAGTTTAGGAAAAAATCCTACTTTGATTCTTGAGATCTTGATCGTAACGTGTTTCGTTGCGATTACTCTGCGTTAATCCTTCAAGATTTAGTTCGTTCTTCCTCCTTTTCTTCTCTTCAAACTTTTTTAGGTTTGTTGAGATTGAAAAATATGTAAAGACTCTTTAGATCACAACCCTAGATATTTATAGGCTGAAAAATAGAGAATTTTTGTGTGGGCGCGGGTAACAGTTTCCTTTGATTTTCAACTCGATTTTGACCTAGTTAGAGGTCGATTCACGAAATTGTTGTGAAATACCTTTTGTATTCCTTGAAGTCTAGGTTCTACTATAAAAATTTCAGGTCAATTGGACATTAGGGTAAAAAATTATAGCTAAAATAATAAGTTTATGTCAAATTTCTTTCTACTCAAATCCTATCCAAAATAGGTTTTAACTCTAGAATACTTCTAAACTTCTAATACAATTCATATAACATCTTCCAATATTTTTCGACCTTCAAGTTTCAATGGAAACTTTATTTTGATCTAAAAATAATTTTGAAATTGCTTAATCACCCTTCTCAAACTTAAACGTCTCTAAAACTCAATTTATCTCGAACGTAAATACACACAAAATTCAAGCTGTATTATCAATATTTTAACAATAATTCTAAGTTTTTACCATCATTTTATTCATCTTAGGAGAATTCTTAAGATAATATTATCCTTCTTTAATTTTAACATGGGGTCTTACAATCCATCCCCCTATCTAATTTGAATTGACAACAAGGTTTCAATGCATATTATTCTCTTAAGCATCAAATACAAGATCATAGTATAGTATCATAGTCTAAATTTTAATTTCATTCATTCCACTTATAACATCATTACAGTTACTTAAAGTCTCCAAGATTACTTTCCTTCACTAGAATTCATTTATAACATTTATTTTCAATAATTATATATGATTTCTTCAACTAATTTCTTATCACGCATAACTACTAGAGCATAATACTTAATTGTTTACTCCTCTCTCTTTTGAATTTCATCAATCCTTTCAATAAATATCATGTTTGCTTCTTATCTGTAGCTTATCCATAAGTATATCAAAATAACTCAAATACAACTCTGCTATTAGGATTACTCAACTTCCTATACTAACATCATGGTATAACACAACATTTAGTACTGACATTATTGTAAAATTCAGATAAATTTGAATTTTTCACAAAAGGGGCAAAACGATAATTTGTCGCTACGGTATGGTTTCAAAAACCTGAATTTTCCTAGAACTAAGATGATGAACCGGACCTTACCGTTGAATTCGTCTCGCGAAATCTAGCTATCTTGTCAATTTTCGTCGAATTCCGTGATAATCATTTTTTTTTTGCGTTTTACAAGGCAGTCGAGTCTCGGATGACCCAAAAACAAATTTTTAATAAAATTTTGAAAGTTGAAAATAATTTGAAACAAGTTAAAATAAAAATATTTTAAATTTTAACTGGAGCGAAATTTAATCATTTAGGGACAAAAATAGATCCGAAAAAATAGAACCGTGTGGCTCATTGTGGACCAAGTGCTTTAAGAGTATAAAAAGAGGAAAAAAATCAGATTCCTCCCCATTTTGTTCAGTCGTTACACGATAGAGAGAGAAGAAAAAGAAGAGAAATCTGACCTTCTCTCTACGATCTACGGAGATCGAGTGCTCAAATTCACTCGGGTCAAGAACAAAAGATGTTCTTCTCGCCAAGAGCTACAAAACCATATCAAAGAGGTCGGGTTTGGGCGAGATTCCAAGGACGAGATTTTGGGAAGGTGGAGATTCAAGCTTGTTTTGGGTTCTTGAAGCTTCCCAACATTATTTTACGTTTCAAGAGGTAGGGTTCCCTCTTACTTTGGTTTATTTTCTAACCTACGGTGGATATATGGAATCGGTAAGTTGATAGAGTTATATATCACTTGCCTCTTGTTGTGAAATTGATGAAATGAGAATGAAAATGGGTATAAAAATAGTTTAAAATAAATTCCTAGCTTGGAATTGATCTAGGGTAATTACTTGTGTAATTTCACGAAAATTGGTATTATGTGGGCATGCTATGTGTTTATATTATGCTTTGTGAATGAAGTGTGTTATTGACATAGATTATGTACTAACATGTTGAGATTTGTTGTTGAATATAATGTTAATATATGCGTTATGATTTGTTAGCATTATGATGAATTGTGAAAATTATATTTTTTTTGATATAATTGGCAATAGAATATTGAAAATTGTTCATTTGGCATTTATTGCATATTGGGTAT